CCCCCCTCGCCCCCCTCCCTCCCCCTCCCCTTCCTTCTCTCCCGCGCCCCTGCCCCGGCCCACCTGCACCCCCAGCAGCACACTGGACTCCCTGTTCCCCGAGTTGCGATAGTGAAACAAAGTCACGTTCCACGCGGGCGGCACCATGTCCAGGAAGCGCCTCAGAGCCCCGGGATGCTCCGGAAACTCCACCTGAAGGATCTTCTCAGCCTCAATACGACAAGTGTACGAGCGGGCACGACCACCGGCCAGATAGCGCAGGTGGACCTGGGGGGGAAGGGGGTTACATGGTGAGCGGTTGAGTGGTTGTGAGTGGTTGGTGAGTGGTTGAATCTCCCCCTCATTGGTGAATTTCGACTGTCCTTCATGGTGCCCTAGGGTGTACCCTAGGTCGCCTGGCACGGTGCCCGTACTCCTTACCTAGCTAACAACTGAAGTTGCAGAGAGGTGAGGAAGTATTATTAAGGTACAAGACAGTAGGGGTAACGGCATGTAGGGGTAACGGCACGGCACTCCCACCCTGCTAATACGACGCTACGGCCTCCCCTGTCCAAGGTGCACGGGCAACGGGTTGTCAGACGCCATAGGCTATGCTCTATTAGTTTAGTACGGTATTGTACAGCGTGAGGTGTTGATGTACTGCTTTTCAGCGCAATTTTCGTGACAAACCCTAAGACCCCGCACGCATTGCCATGTGGTTGCTTTCCTCCATTGCCGTTGCCCTCGTCCCGCCACCGCCGCCGTGCAGACGCCGCCAACCTGCACGCATGTATACCTGCCGTACAGGCGCTATCTTCAGCCTGGGGAGCCAGCCGGGGGGCCAGTAATAGCAGCCGCGGCGGCGGCAGCGTTGGTCGCTTGGTTCGTCGTACTGCTCTCATAGCAGTGTCGCTGCTGGTGTTCAACATTGGCGGCACGGCGGCCTGGAGGCGCGGCGTGGCGGTGGTGGCGGCGGCGGCGGCTTCACACCCTGCGCTGCAGATGACGACAACGGTGCTGACGGCATCGTCCACCACCTAAAACGCGACCGTGTCGCGGCGTCCTCTCCCGTCGCTGCTGCGGTCGGCAGCAGTGGTACGACAGCTTGATGGTGACGTAGACTGCTGGGACGGCGAGGATGGCCGTGCCCATATCCACTTGCTGCAGGAGCCGCGGGATCATCAGCGCCCTCGCCATCCTCATTCCGAGGGCGCTGGATGGCACACCACCCTAGTGCCCTAACTGCATTTCCCCCGGTCCCGACCAAACCGTGTGACATGCAGCCGCATCACCGCTTGGGCACTACGGCACTGGAGGGGGGCCATTTCTCCACCTTGAAATCGCTGTCGGCCAAAACTCCCCTCCCTCCCTCCCTCCTTCCCTCCCCCAAATCCAAATCCAAATCCAAATCCAAATCCAAATCGCGCGACATTTCCCCCCACTGCACTCCCCGCTACACTATGGCACCCCCGATGCCGTACTCTTGGTGGTCAGAGTGGTAGGTTATCACTGAGAGAGCGAGAGTGCAGAACGTGGTGAGAGCGTTGCGGTGTCCACCATAGTCAAAAACAGAAATAGCCATTGCCTGATTAGGCTCCAATTAGTTAGGCTCCACTGTGTAGAGCGGAGGAAGACTGGACCACATATGCATTGGGCGTGAGGGGCCATGAAATGGGCTGCGGCGACGGTGGCGGGTCCAATCCAAAAAGGGAGGTGGGGGTAAGGTGGGGGGAAAGTCGTTCCAGCCGTCAGTGTCGGGGCTTAAGTGAAGAGAGCGGAAAGAGCGGCAGTGAGGAAGGGCGGTGTGTTTGGAGAATCTCATGGTGCAATGGGTAGGGGGTGGGTGTAGGAAAAGAGGAGAGGTAGGCTTAGGGGTTCTTGTTGCGAGAGGATGGGCTTTTTGCCCGGTGTAGTTCTCATCACAGTGGGCGCCATGTGTGGTGCAAAACCCTAAAACCCTAAGTGTGTGGTGCAGTGAGGGCCTTGTTGAGGGGCCCAGGCGGTTCCCACCGGGGGATGGTGTGGAACGCCTTGGAATGGGTAGCAGTTATGTAAGGGTAGTAGTTGCAAGAGCTTTCGTAGAGGTGGGTATGAGATGCGCAGAGAGGTAGACGTGTGCACGCAGCTGCGCCTAGCCGGCATGTGAGACGGGTCGTTAGGCCCGTCAGGCGACATGTATGCGTGTGCGGGGGGTGGGGGGTGGGGCGGGCGGGCAAGCGAGCTTGAGTTCCTCCTCTTGTATTCGTCGTTGCGACTTGTTGTTAAGATTTTGCGTTGCTGGGTTTGCTAGCTGACACTGTTTGCAACACCCGGTGTCTTTGCATTTTCGTGTACAGGAGTACCTAAGCTAGCTACGTGCTGGAGAACGTGTGTGATAATAAAGCTTTCCGTGTGCTGGTGGTTGTTTGGTTGTTATGGCCGCTGAGGTTCGCATCTGTGCTTTTATTTCTCTCCCTCTCCCACAACCTCGCTTGTTAAACCCCCCCCACACACAAACACACCGTTTTATGGCGTGCAAAAGAGTACAAACACAATATAAAACGTTTCCTGAATGGAAGTTTTCTCAAGCGCTACCTCACCAACGGAAGTTCTGCTTTCGTGACCCAATACCTGGATCTGAATCTCCCCACTATGGGAAGTTAGGTGACGGTGGGTCAAGGGGCTCCACTCACATCACTGCGGGTGCTAATAAAGAACGTTGAGCAGTTTCAGGCTTTCTGGAACATGTGGGCGTGTTCCTACATGCATCATGTGTGTATGTATGTGTATGTGTATGCATGTTTCAATTTAACTGAGCTGCGAGATGTACAGATTCGAAGAAGTCTGTGTGTCCGTGTGTTTTTTCATGTGGGCCATGATGAGGAGAATATCGATGGAGGTACACAAATAAGTTTAGTGAAGCGAGCTCCGTAGTCCAGTAACGTGTTAGGCTTTTGGACTGAAGCTATGGACGGCGGGGAAGAACGGTAATATTAGGGAAAAATGACACCAAGCCCAAGAACCAAATGTGAGCAGCCCAGTCAAAAACCGTTTGGATTCTGGCAAAGGAAGACGCTCGCCTCATGGATGGCTATTCCGTGTCTGCCACGACCTCTCACCCAACCCCCCTCTCTACCCCCCTCACTCCCACTCCTGCACACACCCCGCAGCTGACCATGACCTTCCGGTCATGGTACACAAGGGCAATACCCCAGATCCCACTCCCCCCATGCAGCCCACCCAGCTGACACAACATAACAAATCAAACATCACAATCCCAGGGCGACATCCTCCCTCTGACCATACACATCACAGGACAAAACGCATTAACGTCGTACACCACACAGTGCCGTACCCTACACCGCTGCCGTAACCTAATCTCCTCAACTGTGGTGGTCTCAGGTGCACTTGGACAGTTGGAAGGCATGTGGTGAAGCTGTGGTACAGCACCTGTGCACCCTTCACTTGTGGTGAGGAGGTGGTCAAGGCCATAAAGCGGCTCGAGAACAGTTAGTCATGCAGCCCTGGCAAAACTCCGGCGGAATGTTTGAAGTGTGCGACTCGCTTGGTGCAGGTGCAGGAGATAAGTTGGTTTCTCGTCACCCCATATATGGATGCTTTTCAAGCACCTCCGTTCCGAAAAGGGGCACGTTTTCCCAGTCAGCCCAATTTGAGGATCCTTGGGACTTCATTTCTGACACCTCAACCGGGGTTGAAAATGGGGTGCTCACGCCACCTTGAATTTACGTCCCTTCCCGGCATCATAGGAGCTTATTTCGTTTTCGTTTGTGCTGTTGGGTGATTGAGGTCAACGGTCCCATTGGTAGGGTGAGGGCGGATCGGGTTTCAAGATGAGTATCATGTCTTCATGGAGTGCCCAATTTACGACGACATTTCGACAGGTCCTACACCGAGCGTCGACGTTGGGTGACCGGCGTTTGCTTGCCAAGGCGCTTCACGCGATGCGTCAGTAGAGAAGCTCGCATAACGATGCCTATCTATGTATTTAGTCACCAGCGCAAACTTATTTCATAGACGCCCGAGGCCTCGGCCCGAGGCCTCGGCCCGAGGTCTCGGCCCGAGGTCTCGACCCGAGGTCTCGGCCCGAGGTCTCGCCTCGAGGTCTCGGCCGTCCTTTCCATGGAGCCTTATGCTGCAACTCAATAATAATTACCTTTACACAATTGAATGTATAACTTGATGTTCTTGTCACACATGTGTTCAGCTTCCTAAGGTGAATTTCAGCACCCGTAGGAACGGCATCCATTCGCTTTTCCGCCAGCAGAGACTTTGCCCTTATAAAGTAGATATAGCAACTGCATTATACTCCTTATA